TGTTGTTGTTGTTGTTGCTGGTAGTGTTGATAGCAAAGAATAGAGCGGTATTTCTGGTCTTGTCCCTCAAACTCACCTCAAAGCCTAGAGTAAAGAAACTTGACCATCACCATGTTGCCGCGCTTTGCAGCCCAACACAGAGGCGTCTGACCATGCAAATCTACCTCCTCCAGATTCACGAAGCCCCGGCGGCGCCGTGCTGCAATAAAGACTTTGACATACGGCTCTACAGCAAAACTTTCTATAATGGAAAATTCTGCTGCAGAGCCGTATGTCGCCAGGACATCTGTGCTTTTGCTGCTAAAGCCTTCTTGGCATCAGCAAACTCACCGAGATCAGCTCTTCGAGGTTGTCAATCACGTGACAATGTCGAAGAGCTTATCTCGGCTCATTTGGGGATCTTCGGGTTCATCCGCCATGGTGGCGAAACGCACCTCTTGGATGATGCCGGACCAATTTTGAGCCCGAGCCTCTTGCGAAGAAGACCAGGTGAGTAGAGACATGGACAAGAAGAATATGCAACATGCCATCTGCCTAAAACTACATACCTTGACCCAGTCTTACTTCATTACAAAGTCCAGCAGCCCTTGCTATGCCATCCTGGTAACGTGCCAGTAGCTGCTTCACCATCGAAGTCATCATGACCTCCGCCGCTACCTGTACCACTTGCAACAATGACAACAGCCACATCGCCAGAATGTCCACCACCAGCACAATCAGCACGTAGATGTACAAAATTTGGGAGTTGGTGCTGCCCACATGCAAAACCAACATGAGCTGGCCAAGGTTGTCCAAGGTTGGGAAACGGATGTGGTTGATGATTCAGCTCAACATGCACAACAGTCCGGGCAATACAGAGTTGCCTGGCTGGTTGTAGTTGCACCGGGAAGCTCCGTCGACCATCTTCTTCACGAACTTCTCCTGCACACCTGGGCTTTCGTGAGTGGGTGTATGGGCCTCAGAAACAGGGGCAACGGAACAGCACATCGCGCGTAGTCGCTATTGTTCTACTAGTTGGTACTTCTCAGCCGCTAATACTTGGACTGACCCTGGTTTAGGCATGCCAAAAGAATACTAAAAAGAAGACCTACATGTCACATGGGTCTCATCCCAACCCGACTGGGAGGTTAAAATGCATGGAGGTTTCGGTGATAGTTGCACACAGCTCCACTCGACAATTCTGCTGCAACTACCATCGGCAATAGCTATAGCTTCCTGTTCCTGAAACCACCTCCTCATCTCCGCCTAAGCCACTTCCAAATTAAAGTGTGGGCTGGGATCCTTCTGCGGTAAAGCCACCAAGGCTCTTGAAGAAGTCATAAGCTGACGTCTGGGTTAGGTTGAAGACGCCCAAAGCCTCCAACATTGCTGCTGGAGTCTCAAAAATCTTCTGCCCCTCTTGCAGGTCGTAGATTTTGTCGAAACCATCCACCGCATTGCCAACTGCAGGAATCACGTGAAGAGGCGAAACCCATATCCTGAAGCTGATTTTCGGGAGGTCGAGAGCTTGCTTGCTTGGGCTGCTTTCATCCATTCGTCTTGAAGTGCCATAGCTTCGTCAAAGTTCTGCGGGGATTTCAGGTATGCATCAAGCATATTGGGCCTACTGTATCGGGAATCCTCCTGAAAAGCTTCCTGTATCTCTCTTATGCGGCCATCTACTGTAACTGGACGGCCAACGAACGCTGTGTGCAGCATGTGCCAACTGCTAGTCGCCCCGGTCACCCTGGTGTTTCGGCTTCATAGCCTGCAAGGGCGTAATTATCTTGAATCCCCTCTAGAGCTGCAGTCCCGAATCATCCACAATCCAGAGCACAACTTTTGACGGCCCAGGCTCGGAATAGAAGCTTGAGCCCCCATGTCCAGGCGGCTGTCTGAGTCTACCTGTAGGGAGCTTTAACCAGATGAATCGCGTCCTCCGCCAAACATGATGCTTGTCATGACAACTTGCGATGTAAATAAACATGAACGGGTACCTTATACCCCACACACCAACAATGAACACGAAACCCCAAAATCTGGGGATGTAATGACTCCAGGAGCGTCCGTCCAATGGGCCTGGATGCGGAACTTGCTGCCATCCCAGATGTCGATGTCCGAATTCACGCCGCCCTTGGCTTGTATAGCCTTTGTACCTATTGCAATGGGGGTGTGATGCATGAACAAATTGTTACGGAGACCTTGATTCGACCAGAAACAGCGGTGCTTGGATCGAAACTCCACTGTGCTAGAGAGGAGGCTTTGGCCAAAAGCACTCCCCCCGAAGCTACCATGCTCTAGTCAACCATTCACAAGCGACCCAGCCCGAAGTTTGCCTCAGGCGAAAACGTACCGTGGGTCAGCATGATGATACGCTGCGGCCGGGTAACTATACTGAATAAATTCTTTAGCAACTACATTTTCCGCGGCACGAAAGACTAACTCATCACGCAACCCAGA